GTACCTTTTACAATCCTGCAATAACTTACATCTGGTTTAATGGAAAAAGAGACAGTACTATTATTATTTAAGAAGGAAGCTGCAAATTATCTTTCAATCAACAAGTGGAAAGGAACAGTGAAAAACTCCTCTGCCCAAGCTCCAAGCTGCCTGGCTCAAAGTCAGTTTTGGTATAAAGCTGTATATCTTCATTAGCAAAGTGTCACGCCCAGGTTAACAAATCTTGCTGCGAATCAGGGCAGAGTGTTGCTAAATAGCTTCCAGGACAGAGCTGGCTTGTGCCAGTTCTTGTCAATTTTAAGTGTAAGCATGGATCAGTACGCACCTGACCATTACACGTTTCTACCCGGGAACACACCGAAATGACTATTTTAGCAAAAGAAATAATAATGCTTTCCCTTTCCCCACAAATTTAAGTTTAATTTCTGAATGATTTTAAAATGAAGCCCAAGAGAAATTCATCCTTTTGTGTATCCACAATGCGGACTAAGTAGGAATCTGTTGTGATTCCTCTCATAGCAGGTGTGTAAAACCAGTCCTTGAAGCTCATCTGATTTTTACTTAGTTTGCCTGCCTTTTAGCTAAGAAAAGTAAAAGATCAGGCAAACTAAGCCATTCTGTTTCAGATAAGGTACTTTCTGTGTGTAAGATTCAAGCAAGTCATATTGTTCAGACATCTTAAAAACAAACCGAAGAAGTTATAAAGGACATTTCTCCATTGTACATCTTTTTTATAAAGAAAAAGTTCCACAAAACAAGTATTATGTTATCCTTGTGGCCTATCTTGCGGGCATTTCTTGAGGAACTTATTTGGTTGACATGAGAAAAATCTTAACTACTTCTGGAGTAAAGAGCTACAAATCCTCTCCACCGAAAGATGTCACAAAATGGTAGAAAATTGGTCTAGAAACCATCACAAGAGGTTATTTACAATCATCTCCTTATGCTTGTTTTACCTGTTCTTTTTAATTTCCACTGATGGAAATTCTATCACACTGCTCAGGTCACTCAGACTAGAACTTAACTGTCCCTGCCTCTAGAAGAGTGTTTTTGCTGTTACCTCCTCCCACTGTTTCATGTCCAATCTTCATTTCCAACCTAATGTTCAATGCCAACCTAATGTTCTTTATCCTGTCTGCAGTGGTCATGTAGAACAATATGCTCTCTTCTTTGCAGCTCCCTTTAACATGACTTGAGACCATTATAATTGCTTTGTTCCTGGAGAAAACGTCTCCAGTCTTTCAATTTTTCCTTCTATGTCACAGTTTTCAAACCTCTGATTAATTTTGCTGCTAGCTCCTTTGACTCTCTCAAATCGATTTCTTTCTTGAAATACAGTGCTCAAAACTGGACATAGTATTCCAGCTGAATAGAGTCAAAGGATGTCCCAGCCTGTTGTGTAGGTGGTAGCTCTCTCTATAAATCCTGTGGTTTGGATTGGTGTTTTCCTTTTTTCCCTAAAGGAGTGACATTGTTGTTACGTGATCTGCACATGACGTTTTCTGAAGACAGCCTGGACAGTTGTTTGCCATACTGTATTTACACAGATGATTCTTCCCTAAATACACAGCCCTGTGTCTATTCTTAATGGATTACAGAGATACATGTTCTGCAAATCATTCCCAAGTTTGTCAAGATCATTCTGAATTGTCACCTTGGTTTCTGTTATGTTTTTAGTCCTCCACAACTTAATGTTATCTACAAAGTCAATAAAGAAACTCTTGATTCTATTACAAAAGTTATTAGTAAAAAGTTGAGTAAACCAGACCTCTGCGAAACTTCCCTTATTTTTAAGCCTTCCAATTTGACAGTGATCCCTGGGTTATCCAAGTAACTTTTACCTACCACGTTTTCTTTGTTTTGCCCTTTGAGAATTTTGTGTGAGAAGAGGTCTGAAGTCTTGCTGAAGTTAAGATGCATGACAAGTACTGAATCTTAGCTTGGGTACAAAATATTGCTAGTCCAAGTTAGAGTATATATGAAGTGGATCCTGCTGTTTATGCACAAGCACTTCATATCAATGATACGCTTTTAATTTGTAAATATTTTTAATAGCAGTGATTGTCAAGGCTCCACATGTCTTGTACTCATGCGCGCGTTTCCATATGAAGATCTACACAAGGAGTTCTGCCACTCCTTTCTTTCCCACTTACCACCCGTAATGATGGGACAGAACCTAAGAAGAATCCAGTGTTAGAAGGTTTTGCTAGTTTCTTCAAAGGCTCTCTTATTGTGTCTCAGCTCTTCTGATTTTCTCTTGTAAGACCCTCACTGACTTGTCTAAACTGAAGATTTTTGCTGGATTTGAAACGTGCAGGCATTAAGCTCCTGCATAATTTTGGGTGGACTTACTCCATTGAAATGGATACAGTCGGGGGGTTTGTCTGCCCAGGACAGTGCTGTATACTGAGGTGATGCTTATTTTCCACAAGAATAGAGAAGGTTCATGTGCTGCATTTTGCGGAGGTTCAGAAGTGCCTACTGATGGGACTATGTGGCTTTAGATGTCTTCCAGGTTAGTCAAGTGTGAAACTGAGCCTGTTTCCCAGTGTTTTGGAAAAGGCAGTCAATCAGTTGCCTGGCATAGCATATTACTGCAACTGGAAGCCAGACGTTGATCTACTGATAGGCTGGTTGTTCATGTGGCACAAATGTACGTGTTTATACCCACTATAGTAGGTTTACACTCAACATTGTTTTTCTAAACTGGGAAAGGTACCCCTTAATGCCTAGTTGTTAGGACTAGAAAGTGAGGCATGAGACACCACGTACCTTCTGAAGTGGGAAAAGTTCTGACCCTGACAAAGTGTGATGTAGGTTAAAAACCCTGTTGAGTACTGTGATTTGGTAGTTTCAGAAATAAGGTGCCTGGCTCTCATTTATTGACGTGTATCAAAATGTAAATGCTGTTTACATTTAAAAGATGTAAATCTGATTGTGGAGTTGCTACAGACTTGTTTTCACTCATGCTTATGTTGAATGAATCCATTCTATTTAGCTTAAATTTTATCTAAACCTTTAAAAATACTGACATTTCAGTGGTAAACTGAGAGCTTTCCATGTGCTTTTTTTGATGCTGATATATCTGTACTTCTCCTGTTTTTTCAGCCACTGAAGAGTCCCATTTTCAGTGGTTTTTAAGTTGCTTTGCTTTTATCATGCATGTGGAAGGTACTGAACAATCTAAGCCAGAGATATGAGCTAAGAGATGGTAGAATAAAAGCTGAAGGCATTTTCTCCATATACATCAGTACTAGACGCTGCATTCGATGCCTTCATCGCTTCCGGTGCTTTTAAATTCTGTTTCTGTTGTCTTGCTTAGCATGTAATAGCTTGGAATGTAGATGGGTTGTGAACCTCCAAATCATTATGAAGTACCTTTCCAAACTCCTGGAGAATTTTTGAGAAGGGATAATCTTTTTCATGTTACTTTTTCATTAAACTCTCACTTTCTAGAAAGGCAGATCAACCTGCAAATTTATTGATCGGGTAGGAGACCTTGATACAGTTTGCTGGTGAACTTTTGAAATCATTTGAACATAATGTTTGTACAATTGTAGCATCTTAAGAAAATGATTTTTTTTAATTAACAGAAGACTTAGAATACTCTTCTGTTCATAACTGGGAAAAATAAGAAGAAAGAGAACACAGATCCATGCAGGTTTTATCAGGCGTCATCCTGGTGCTCTTTCTAGTGAATACCACTAAAAGGTCTGTAACCTGCAAAATACGAAAAGTTAGCAAGATGACAGAGTGCTGGCACTTCTGATAGTAACCTGATTTGGAAATTAGGCAGGGAAAGATGAATCAAAGGACTATAGCCCAGATGCTCAGTTTCTCTGAACTGGTAGATCTCTCAATAGGTTCCACTGGCCTTATTGACATTGGACTCTCACCTGAAATTCTGGGAACAACATTCAAAATCTGAGGCAAATTAAAATTTTCATGTAGATATGCCAGTTGAATTTTAAATCTACTGTACTGGAAGTTAAATGTGTTATTTGACTTCCCTAAGCTTTTCTGAGACAGGCTCATGGTCAAGTTCTTCACTAGTGTAGATGGAATAAGCAAGGATAAAATCACAGAGCGTTAATGACTCTGATAGCTAATAATTGATATGATGAAACCATTCTCTTTAGACAGGTGGAATGCCAGTTAGTCTAAACAGCTGAAGGAGAAGACCTCTGAACACAGTATCTCGAGAAACTGGCAGTGTGGTCAAACTTCATTTTGTGGCTGCGCTTTCCAATTTTTTTACAGTCGTGTAGAAAAAGCATCAAAATCTATTAAAAAAAAAAACCAACTTTTTCGATTAAGAGAGATGTTACTATTTCTTTTCTTATTTGTATATCTACTTTTTCATACTTTGATCCGTTTTCTTCCTTTGTTTAGCAGTCTGTTTTTATTGTTCTTATTGAAGTAATCTTTCTGAACTTTCCCTATTATTTTTTAAAGTTTTTAGAGATTTTACTATGAAGACATCATTTCTCTATTAGTTATTTGTGGTGTTTTGTTTTTTTTTTTTTAATCCTCTTCCCTCCAAGCATTGCCTGATTCACATCTGTTTCTAAACCAATCTTTGTTTTTAACCTTGTGTCTTACTGACTTATCCTACTTACTGTTCTGGAATGAACATAGGTCAGGGACATAGGGAACAGGGACATAGGTCTTGTTCATCTTTCCTTTCCGAAAGTGTATACTTCATTTGAATAAAGAGGTAATTCTGCACAGAGATTTTGCATGGTGTTTTGGGGAGGGCAAGGGAGAAGAGGAGATTGGGACTTGAAGAAAGCATTAGCCAAGGCTCAGGCAGGGACTGTTGTGACTTTTGCACTGGCAATTATTTCTGAACTTTCTAAACTGCTTCAAAACATGATCACATTACTGTGTGCGTCACTGTGAGGGACAGAGAAATTTGTTGTTTCTACGTTCTTACATCTCCTCACAGAAATGTTTTGGTGTTACATAATTGCCATTGTTCTTTTGCATGTTTTTCATAGCATCCTCCTGGGCAGTTGAGAAGGAAGTACAGTTCCTGCTCCACTATTTTCCTGGATGACAGCACAGTCAGTCAACCAAACCTCAAGTATACCATCAAATGGTGGGTTTTATAATGGTTTTTTTGGTTTGAACGTATATTACATGCTGAATATGTGTGCACAGTTCTGAACCGTTACTAAACAAGCATCACAGGTTTTAGTCTTTGAAGCAGTAATTTTTTTTTTTTAAACCCAATCATGCTCCGGAAGCAGTGAATAGGAAAAGCAAAAGGTAATACTCTGATTTTTAGCTTCTTGCAGAACCAAACTCCCAATACTGCACATCTCACAAGAAAGTATCAATTAAGGAACTCAGATGCTAGCAACCGAAGGCCTTGTGCTTCCATCTTCAACTGGATGCTTCCATGGATAAGTCCTCAAAAGTTCTGGTGTTTGTTTATACAGAATTTTCAATAATCTGAAATCTCCTGAAGTCGAAGAGCTCTTACCTGAGAATGCGAAAATGGTCGTTTGCTAAGCTTTCCTCCCGTTTTCTGTTTGAAATGACAATTCGTTGCTTTCAGATTCATTTCCTTATTGAGTACAGGCACACTGTTGCACAGCTGATTGCACAGCAGCTTTGTATGTGGTGTGCACATGGGCTTGTCTTCGGGTGATGCCTCACGTGTTCATTTCAGGTTTTACTGATGCCTTTTCGTCTTTAGAGAGGAATTAAATTGATATTTATAGTATACCGTTCTGTACGTTTTCTACAGTAAAGGGAAAAATGAGCGAACAAATGCCCGGGTATCTTACGCTGTTTATTTTCTACAGTTGCTGATGCATTTTCAGTTGTTTGCAGGATGATTACTTTAGTATACTCAGATGTAAAAACTTATTAAGTCAAGGTCTATGCTACAAAGGTATTTGCATGAGAGAGAAATATATTCAGAATAGTCTACCCAAAGGCGTTTGTACTGTTGGTGGTCATTGCAACTCTGTAGTTTTTCTGTTTAAGGAGGGAAGGGGGAAGTGGAGAAGGGATTTGCAGCCAAACCGATACCTAATTCCGCTGATACCTAATTCCTCATGAGCTATTTTTACCTGAAATATATTGTCTTGTATTTCCTCAAGTTTCTTTAATGAGTAACTAAAAAATAAATCAGAAGAACACAGGAAAAAGTTGTTTTTTTTTTCTTTTTTTCCTGGAATCGCATACTTTTCTGCTCTCAGGTTCTTTTCAGGCAGATATTAGTAAGTACAGTCTTTTAGCTAGGACCTGTTAGTGGAAAGAAGAAGTGGGAGGGATCCAGTTGGTCACAGCAGCAACGAAGGCACTTTCAGCAGGCCCCCGATGGGCAGCGGCAGCGTGGTAGGAGGGGAGGCAGGAAGAGAACCACGAGTTTGGAGCTGGGGCCAAGATGCTGAGGTCTGGGGGAGAGGTGGCAGGGGCTGAGCTGCGGGGAGGAGAGGACATAGGTTGGGCTTTGGAAAGCCTGTGTTGGGCCTGGCAGGAGAGAGCAGTGCAGCAGGAGAGCTGGGGCCGGGTTGCTGGCACGAGGAAGGCTGGAAGCTCTGAGGGGTCAAAGAGTTGGCATGTGCGTTAGGTAGGGTGCGAAGCTGGACTCTGGTGCCTGAGGCCTCTGGGTGAGGTCCCTTTTCCTCCTCTTCTCTCCTATCTGGCTGCACATTTAACCGATTTAAGGGTGTGGAGATAGCAGGATTTTGTAATACAGCTTCATTTCCTGCCCCCGTCCTGGCTGTCACTGCAGATAAAGGCCTACTGCACATATGTAGGTCTACGAAGGATGCATTTTGGCTGACTCATTTATTTCTTTTGGGTCAGGCACAGCCGTGTTTAAAATATTAGTGTGTCTCCTGAAGAACTTCAGAACGGGTGGGATGGCAGGGTGATGGAAAGCTACGTAAGATACTTCCCTGGCTGTTGTCACAGGTGCCCTGAATGCTAGCTGAACCAGCATATGAAAAGCAGACTAAAACTCAGGTTTGAGTTAATCTGTTAAAGTTCTGAAAGACCTTCAGATTCTGATACAGATTTCAAAATGGTAAATGTTTTCCTAAAGTTAGTTTGACATTTTGCTACATCACCAAACAGCGCTGTGCATCTGTATCCCTATATCGCTCCCATAAAGTGAGCTGGAGCAGTAAGTGTGTTCTAGGGGCATCATTTAAGATAAAATTTTAGGACAAATGCGATTTCTGAATATCTTTTCAGTCAAATAACATTAATTCACAAATATATTTTTTGTGTTCAGTGAGGACAGTGTCCTTTAAATGTCAATGGTATACAATATCGTAATTGCTTGAACAGGTATCTGCAGAAAAATTCAATTTTAAAAAGCAAATATGATCTAAAAACTTCTAATGCGGCAAGCTAAAAGCTATAGTGCCAATACAAAGTTAATAAAATGTATGTATTTTCAACCGAGAAAAAACATTTTCTACTGTATGGCTGTTTAGAAAAATATTGCTTAAAATCATGTGCAATTCTACTAGCAGGGAGCTCCAACATAACTGTTTTTCCTAACGTACAGTAGTCAGTTTTCACTTAAAAGTTATGAAATAAAGTTATAGAGCTTTCAGTTCACCCTCTTAAAAGGCCTTTTATAGGAGGAAAAAACAGAGAGGGGGAATTTTACATCAGCATAGGACTAGCATCTCACAAGGAATCACTATCAGAATAAACTGTCAAGAAATAGGATCAGGGAACTTCCTCCTCCCTCTTCAGCCCCCTTTAATTTTGGCTGGTTTTAGGCTGTTAGAATAAGTAGTGAGGGTGGTGATTCAGCTTTATGTTTTGATGTTAACTCCTGCAGCTTCAGGAGTCAGAAGCTGGAAACTGGAGAATAACCATGAAAACCCATGTCTTTATTTTCTTCGGTGTCAAACATATTCAGTAAGCTGTATATGTAATGAAAAAATTTTGCTTTCTCTGAATATAAGGATGTTTTTCATTTTTGCGCAGAATTTAAGCAGGGGTACTTAGATGTGTGGTTGAGAACAACAAAAATATTATATGCAATATGTTATTCAGGGAGTCGTCTTTCCCAACTTAAAAGAAGTTGATGCCATAAAAACGTAGGAGCTTGGTATTTGAGTCTTTTATGCGAGTAACTGTAGGAAGACAGATGAAAGTTAATAGACTTAAATATAAAATCATAAGCCAATGATGATTAGAACATTGCATTGTCATATTATCAAAATACACAATGTTTTGATACTTTCAGTTTTATCAAATCCGCTGACTTACAAATAGAGTAAGTTACGGGCTGATAGTTCTTGGAGAAGTCTCACAGCATTTCTTCTTAGCCTGAGAGAGCGTCCATTGCCTCTGATGCCCCTTATCTTCAACCTTGGAGGCCAGTAGGCATTTTACCATTGACTTTAATGGAGTAGGGCATTAAATGGAAGGAATATATGGGTTGGCATATGGAATGTGACTGTTTTGTAAGGTATTTCGTTACTAGTCAGAAGGGGAGGTACTTTGAGGGTGCTGAACAAATATTCTAAAATTGGCTATTCTTCAATATTTCTCCTGGAATCTGATACTGAACAGAAGAAAACAGGCTATTGAGCATGCCTTTTGTCAAGCATTGTGCTAGGTTTTTACGTTTGGATGTTAATGTAGTTATACTAATATCTAATTTGACAGTCCTGAGACATTAACTCTGTGTTTTTTCTTTACAGTGTAGCTCTTGCAATATATTACCACATCAAAAACAGGTATGTGAATAATGAAGTCTCATACTGAAGATTTCTTTAATCGAAACAAACCACCCCCCCCCAAACCTAAAATTCTGTCTTCTGTTTCTTTCAAAACGTTTGTTGTGTAGTTGTTTTTCTATTTCCCATGTTAGAAATGAGGAACGTAGATTCTTCTCCATGTATTATTTTGCCTTCAAGAATAAAAATTAGAGGATTATTTATAAGAAAAATCTGGAAGTACAGTTCAACATTGAAAGACTGTAATGGTTCAGTGTTTGGTTTTGTGCGCTCTGGGCACTTCTACATTAAATAGATGTTGCAATTATATTTAGAGAAATCTGAATAGTGTCTTTCAGATCTGTTTTTTGGCTACCTCTTTGTAAAGTTACCTGTGTAAATGAGTCATCATTTACTGTTTAGGTACTTTGAAATAAAACCCATTAATTATACACTAAGAGTGACATTGTCAATAAATGTAGTTCAAGTGCCTCATAAACAGAACAGGTCCTGGCTTATCTCTTCTGATGTAGTATGTTTTAGTCCTGACTCTGCTTAGTCAAGCTGAATAAAACTGGACAGAAAGTAAGACCTCTAAAAAATAACTTGGTACATGAATTAACTTTGTTGTCGTTGAACTGACTTTTTGTTTCTTGAATTCCATGTTCTCATAAGATAATATGTCACAGCATCATAACATGATATTGCCTGAAATTTTGAAGAAGGGATTTGTATATATACTTTTAGTGACTTCTGTGTCCGTGGCTTTTCAATGTGTCTTTTCGGGAAACTTGCTTTAGGTTTCAATCTAACAAATTACTTACATGTTTTTCCTTGTGCACTGTAAGAAGTCTGGCTAAGACAAAAGGAATTACTCTAAAGTTAAGCTGCTACGTCATTTGGGACTGTGTTTCAGGTCGCTGGAACCCATTACACTTCTTGAAACAAGACTGATGTCTAAAGAGAGACCTTTAGAAATGTACAAAGGCCGAAAGGCGTAGGGTCTGATCCCAAATGAAAGCTTGTAGAAGATTTTCCAAGACTTCAGTGGACCTTGGGCTGAAACATGGCAATGTGTAAAGCAAAAATTGGAGTGAATCTTTTTGATAACTTTTTTGTCTCGTTTTCTAGAAAATGAGGCATTATTGGTCATTACTTGTTTATCCATCTGTGGTTCCCTCTTCTGCTTTCCTCCCATCACCTCTGGGTTGCTTTGTGTAACTAGTCAATTTTGACTACCCTTGAGTGCATGATAGAGATCTCAAAGATGATCGCATTGTGAAGTTTTGTGGAAATAAGATATTCTTAAGCACTCTAGCAAGTCTCATCCCAGCTGAGGGAGTAAAAGGCTATGTAGAATGAGGTCGCATAGGGACTCCAAGCAGGTGAGAAGCCTTAGCAAGAGCTCACAGCCAGTCGAGAAGACATCCAAATCCAAGGGAAGCCAGACTCAGTTAATTCGAATTGCCGTGAAGCTAATTTCTGACCATAGTAAAATACACAGAATGTGATGCGATATGACTTGCAGCTAGTGCACAGAGAGGCTAAGCATTTATGAAGTAAGGGTGCTATGTCAGTGACTTGAAAACAAGAACATTGTAAATATTATCTTGGGAGAAATGGTCTCTCCCCTTTCGCTTTTTGGGTGGAAAGGTGACTTTATTCAGGAAGAACTGCTTGCTGCATCTCCCTCCTGAAGCTGCCTGTGGGTGCGAGAAGTGTTGCAAACGCGCCCTCTGCTGCACTCTGCCTAGATGGGCTCGGCAGAGACGCTCTAGTGCACTCGCAGACGCTAATTGAAGGCTGTGAAATGAAGGAAGTGAAATAACTCTTCTGCCTTCAGTTAGCTCTGATTTGAGAGTAGAGGGACAACGCGATAACAGCGTTCAGTTGTAGCTGCTGCAGAGACAGCAAGAACAGAAAATAACGTTCTGTTTCCTGCGGGTACAGACAAAAAGGGAGTTGTAGAAGCGGTGGAAGTTAGTGCTTTATGGGGGATGGAGAGTAAGAAACCAGTGTAACGCCTTATGTAGTCTCAAGTTTGATTTTAGTGGAAAAATGAGTCAAGCACCCGCTTCACTCGCGAAAAATTATTTTCAGGCAGCATTTTACCTGTTCTTTTTCTCCTGCACACTTGACCTAGAACTAAATTGCTTCCTAATATTCTAAACTATTATCAATCCCACACGTAAGTTTTTGCAGAGAAACGATAAACGAATTAGAGTATCCCTTCATGTTTCCCACGTGTTATTTGATTTTAACATTCTAGCTATTCCTGTTTTTCCCAATGCCTCCTACCATTGTTTTATTGGTTGACTTTTTGCAGGTTTTATTGTGTTTAGATGTTTAATAAGTGGTAAAAGACTACGCCTATCTTGTTTTGGAAGGAACGCACAACTGTTGGCCAACTTGCTAAAAAACACACCAGGCCAGAGCGAAGCGAAAAATCCACGAACCGCAAAAAAAATGCTTAGATAATTGATGGATGATTCATTTTAAAAGATAAGTTTTGGTGTTACAGATTTTTTGAGGCCAGGCAAACGTGCCTTCATGGTATACAGCAACAACAGCATGAAGAAGTAAAATGGGAAATTCTTTGGTTTTCTCTTTTTATTGTGAAGGGCCACAGTTTACTGTAACACATCAGTGATTTCAGTGAGACTACATCTGAGGAAGATACTGGCCTTTTTATGTAAAACTACAAGCATCTGGCCTAAAATCCTTGCTGATGAGGAATTTCAGGATATTTTGAAGTAATTTTCTCAGTCTGCTTGTTGGTTTTAATTTAGGGGCTCAGTTCTTTTGAAGAAAGTGTTTATTTTCAGTGTAAACGGGCTTTGAAGCAGGAAAAAAATTCACCTTCAGATGTTGAGATTTAAGTCTGTTAAGCACCAATAAGTACATTTTGTGGTCGTGAATTCCCAATAAACTTTGAGTCTGCATGCTCTGTGGGACATGTGCTGTTGAGTAAGAGTAGAAAATATATACAGTGGTCTCTCTCTTAATTCTTAATGGACTCTCAGTGACCGGAGTTGCAGGGATGCAATAAATAAAAGATGGGATTGTAATCAGAAAGTCACATGGATGCATCTGTCCAGAAAGTATCCAGTTCTGACTGGTACTGTTAGACCACTCGCTTTTCGTGATTGTTAATATTCCTATCAAACCTGCATACAGCAAAATTCTTAAATTGAATACTTCTGCTGACCTGCAGCAATGAAGAGCTGAGAGAGAAAGCAAATAAAACCCATGAAAAGGAGTATTGTTTTTTTCTGAATTTGTTTGTGTGTACTCCTTATTGCTTTCAGAAATCATTGGTAGGATTTCTTTAGGAAAGCCTAAAGAAATAAAGTGAAGAATGTATACATTAACTAAAGGACAACTGTAAAAATAGTGTTGCATTTTTGTGAACTTTTATAATGTGGACAATAAAGGAGGAGGAATTAGTTAAATGAAGTGATTACAAGGATTAACGTGATGAAATTAAGGAAAGGAGAGTAAGCTGAGCTGATTTTATCATATTAGAAGATGATGTGCATGTTGGGTTAAAAGCCTTGTGGTAGGGAGAGCAAAAGCTATGCCTCTTGGGCGTTGAAAGCTGCATGTTTTAGTGTTCTTTGTAACGTGAATTTCATAGTAAATGTGAACTTCATGGCACGATAGTTCCAAAATTGCATTTCTGCAGTTGTTTTGAGCACCCCACACACGAGGGGTATTTAGAGTTTTAACAGCACGCTCTTTGTGAAGGTTGCACGTTGTCATGTTCAGATAATGGCACTACATTTCTCTTGCTTTGCAGGGACGCAGACGGAAGAATGCTCTTAGATATTTTTGATGAAAACCTTCATCCCCTTTCGGTAAGTTCATCTACCTCTTCTTCCCTTTCATACGAACGGGCTTTCTGTCTGCCTGCTTGTGTTATTTCAGTCACCTATTTGGAAATATTTCTTCCTTAGAAAACCGAAGTGCCACCAGATTATGACAAACATGACCCGGAGCAGAAACAGATTTACCGCTTTGTTCGGACGTTGTTCAGTGCTGCTCAACTGACTGCTGAATGTGCCATTGTCACCCTGGTGAGTGTCAGAGATGACAGCAGCTCTCCGACAGACCCAGTTTTGTTCTCAAAGCTTAATTTTGTATGTTTGAATAGCTCTAGGTGTTGCCAAGAAATTTGTTCTCACTGTAGAGACCAAAGACATTTCTTGATGGGAAAAAATATTACAGTTCCTTTTCTTGAGGAACGTGAGGGAACAAAAGAAGATATTGGATAACATATGACACAAAAGCCACAGTTACGTCTTGCCCTCACAGAGTGATAACGTTACAGGCCACCAGGGTGACTAATAGAAAACGCAGGTGGCATAAGCGGTCCGAACATGAGGGAATGCTAAAAGCAGAAATGCTTCCACTTTTGTCAGGTTTACTGTGTTTCATTGTAGCTCCCAGCAGATGCTCAGGGACAGCTGTAGGTAATTTAATAGCGTTAATAAGAATGGATGGACCCAAAAAGGATTGGGTGAGTCACTAGAACATGTTGGTGACTGCTGTTTTTTACATGCACTGTACTTGTCTTTCAGGACCACGTCATCGGACTGAACCATTGCACTCAAGGCTGAAGTTTAGCTACTTAAAAATAGTACAACACAAAAGAGGGTTCACATTTTCAGCTGGTGTGGGTCATCATAGCGATGTGGATTAACAGAGCTAAAGTAATCTCCACCAGCTGAGAACTTTTGAATTTTCCTGAAATTTTTGTCTTACCGACTCATACAAACCAGTTCAAGTTTCAGGCACAATTTTGGCTGTGTTCTTGACTCAGGAACAGGATTTTCTTTTCTTTTCTTTTCTTTTTTTTTAAATAAACACTATGACATGTGTGTTCATAGCAGCTTTATTATACACTTTAAATATAAGAAAGAGTAATTGGAGAAGGTGAATTTTGAAGTCCAGATCTACTCATTTCCACTGTTAGTATTAGAAGCCAAGGGAGAGAGATTAGTTGGAAGGCGCTCTCCTTCAGAAGTAGTCAAAATGAATTGTTCTGGCCAGTACAGAACAGGAATATGAGAGAAACAGGGCAAGAAACACCCTGCAGTGCTCCACCTCTGCATATTGAAGTTATTCTGCCTAGTTACTTGACCCAGCAATTACTTGTTTTCTGACATGACGTTTTTGTCTGTCTCTTTTATGTAGTTATACTAAGTACTTGTCCTTATTCTTTTTTCTTTCTAATTGTTTTCTGCTGGAGGCAAGATGTGTTGTGGAAATCAGTACATTTTTGTATAATTCATTTACTGTCACGTACGGTGGAAACTTGATGTAGGTGTCTGTTGTTTGATCTTAGATTGTTTAATCAGTGAGGGCACTCTTTAGTAGAAAGAAACAAGGGTTGTATTGTATAACAGTATCTTCCTGTCATTGCATTTTGTGGAAAGTTCTTGCCCACAGATGTTGTTAACTTGGACATGTATTTCCATATCTTTCATTTGTACTTACTTCCTTGCCTCCTGTGGTTCTCGTGTAGTTTTCCCAATGCAAGTAACTGTTTTTAGTGTGACCTGCAATTAAGTATAGATATTTTAAACTCATTTGTTATACTGCAGAGGCAGTTTCCTTAGTTTTTAGTGTTTGAAATACTAGATGACTTGGGTTTTATACCTGACACTGTGACACTTTGACACGTATAATCACCACCAGAATTAGTCCTGACACTGTGACAAATGGATAAATATAAATATTGTATGATGTAGTTCTCAAAAGAGCCATTCAGATGTACGCAGATAGACTTGGTGCAGGTGATCAACATGGCTGTAATGCTATTCTTGCGAATGTTGTGAGGGTAATGGCAGCATGACCCTTCTTGAACCTGCAGAACAGAAAACTGAGGGGGAGATCTCATCAATGTATATAAACACCTGAAGGGAGGGTGTCAAGAGGATGGAGCCAGACTCTTTTCAGTGGCGCCCAGCGATAGGACGAGAGGCAACGGGCACGCACTGAAGCACAGGAAGGTCCATCTGAATATGAGGAAAAAATTCTTTCCTGTGAAGGTGCCTGAGCACTGGAACAGGTTGCCCAGAGAGGTTGTGGAGTCTCCATCCCTGGAGATGTTCAAAAGCCGTCTGGACGCAATCCCGGGCCACGTGCTCTAGGTGACCCTGCTTAAGCAGCAGGGGTTGGGCCAGGTGATCTTCAGAGGTCCCTTCCAACCTCAACCGTTCTGTGATTCTGCAGTTCTCTTCAGAAAACTTTTGATAAGTTTGAGTTTTTTGATAAGCTGCATTTTAGAAGTACGTATTCTGTGGTTTTGATCTCTTATTCCTCTGTACTCCTGGATCCCATTTCTTTATTTGTTAGTGTCATTAGGAGGGGCGCCGAGAGACAAATGATACTCTTTCGGAAACGTTCAGTGTGGACATTAATCTGTTAAAAGGAATCAAATCCCTTCTGCCACCACGCCTCCTCCCCCAGTCTTAACTACAGTTAATACTGGTATTTGTGAATCCTCCAAGTGCTTTCAATTTTGATATCCTCACTGGAGGAAAAGGGAGTAGCATTCACTGTAGAAGCTTACGTTTTGCTGTAGTCTGGTCATACATTGGAGAGTCATCTGATACCCCTGTCTGCCACTCGTTCCCCTGGGAGGGTTGCCAGAATGCAGGAAACATATCCGTGGAGAAGCAGATCGCAATACATTTTGAACTAGATACTGCAATTATTGTTTTTCTTTCATGCTAATTATTTTGAACAATCCTAACCACTGCTTATTATTACTGCCCAGGCAACCCAAATTATTACCGTGGATTAAGAAGTGTAGCTGAATGTACCTGCTGGGTTTATTTTTTTTTTGCATGCTATTAGCAAGGTAGAAGGAGCAGTTACAGTTGGTTATATAGCAGTCTGTATGTTCAGTACAGGAGCTGTGCAAATGTGAAACTCCGGACTGTTGGATAAGCTAGTCTTCGGCAAAAAAGCAAGCATCGTGTTGCTTCAAAAAGTTAATTAAAATATTCCAATTAAAGCCTCCAGTATTACAGCAAAATCAATTTATAATTAAACAAAAAATTTAATTTTCACACAGCCGCCAGCGCTACCAGGAGATTTTCCATACTGATAGGTGAAAAAGTAAACTCACAGACTGAAACAATTAAGTACTAATTCACATTACTTATTTATAAAACAATACCTTAAAACAATATTAGTTGTAAGAATTGTGTTGCTGATTAAACAATGTAAGTAATGATTTTTGTCCCAGTGAATAACTGAGCTATATTCTGCCTGGGACCTAGCTTTGTGAGAAGAATAATGCGTGTGTTTCTCCTGCCAAGTATTCCCGTTTTTGCTGAAACTGAGAAATCCTTGTTTTCTTATCAGCCTTCTCTCCACTCTTCTGAAGCTCCATGTTACATCTAACTGACTTATACTGACAAATTCTGTTTATGTTGCGCTATTAATTGAATAGCAAATACAAGTGTGAATATTAGTGTGATCCATACCAATAGGAAAACTTTATAGTGCTTGTGTTAGATCAGAATTAGATGTTTATGCTTTAATGTTTTTTTTTCTGCTTTGCATCCGCTTGACTTCCTGAGCTGTGGGCAAGTAGGCCAAGTCTAAGGCACCTAATATACTTCAGTATCTGTAAGAGTTTCATAGTTTCAGAGAGGATAAATTTTACATAGGAAAATATGTTATAGACTCTGACCAAATATATTGATATCTAAATATATACAGTGCGTGAGGTGAATTATTTCTGTGAAATTCAGATGAGTGTATTTTGAAACATGTTACAAAGTTCACACTCACTGTGACTGAGAAGATTTGAAATAGGGAAATTTGAATTATGTAAGAGTAACTTCTCCTTATAAAAAGCATGGATTTAGTTAATCCAGCCAGGGGTTCCCGAGTTGTTATTGTATTCTCCGGTCAAGTTTTCAGCAAGTAGGTAGAGAGGATCGTGCACTGTGAGGAAAAAATCACAGAATTTTGAGGAGATTTTTGCTTTCTGTGTATTTGGAAGAAGGGCGAAAACCTGGACTTCCTTTTCAGGAATATCCTTTAATTGGTGTCCTTTCACTGGAATATTTTGACTTTCAAGTGCTGATAAAATCTCTTCAATGACTGTTTTTGGAGGGGGCATATTTTAATTAAAGTATTAAAAATCTAGTATTAATTTAAGGAAGGCAACACAAAAAAGTGATCAGAGTCCATAGATTTAATTTTTGGCTTTAGATCTATGTATGTTTTTTCTGAGAGCACTGGTCACAGCAGTACATAAATGCTAAAAGAGAACAAAGTGAGAGCTGTTGACCTGGAGACTTAGTGTGTAATACAGTCTGCCTAATTTAGATATTTAAATTAGACATCACTTCACAGAGTTGGAGGCACCTGATCCATAGCTGAGGTGTCCCGTTCAGCTTGCCCAGGATAACTGAAGTTCACGTGCAGCTAGTGCAAAGGAAAAGGTTCCTCTAAAAACCTCACAGTACAGCATGGAGAGGAGCGAGGGCTTTGTGCCCGTGGCCCAGGCGCTTGCCGGGGCAGAGAGTTCAGGGTTCTGCTCCCTGTTCTCAGGGCTATTGTCACTCTTTGGATAATTTTTTGTGTTATGTTTTGATTAGGTAGTCTAACAGAAAACATATACGTGCTCTAAGGAACCCCAGTTCTACTTTTTCCTTTTTCCAGCCTGGGTAGTGACCTACATCCAAGCAGAGAACTGAAGGGGTCTTTTACCCTGGCTACTCCTAAGGGTGGTGACAGACTTTTGGAGGGTAGCATGTGTGGAGCTTCCCCTTGAGCTGGGGAAGGGCTTTGGTCAGGACTGTTGCTGATTGCTGTTGTGATGGCCTGACTTCTTCAGGAGCGCTGGACAGAATTTGGCTCCCAGTCTCTCTAAATCTGGGTAGTACATGAGGTGGTGCCTGTTTGCCAATGTATCCCTTGATGTTTTAGTCTGTGCAAGCAATGAATGGTGATCCTATCAATGTTGCCTGATAGCTTGAGCGCATTTTACATGCATTATAGATTTCTTAAAGCAGGAGTAAATTTGGGGTGAACCTGGAAAAGGGTGAAT